AGTTCCTTCTACCTCTAGCACCCATTACCCTCTGCCTCAAACTTCTTAGACATGGACAACAAACACACAAACTTGAGTTTGACTCTTGTTTTTTATTTTAAGGTAATGAATAAATTGCTTCTTAAATTTTAAGTCTAGTAACACTTTAGATCTTAAATTTATTTATCATGCAAATTGTTCTTTAAACTTTTGAAAATGGTTAATCAAGCCCTTGTCGTTAACAAAAGTTAATTTTAATTGTTAGTTACTAAAAAATTACAGAAAGTGATATCAAAAATTATAGAAGGGGACTACAAAATTTTGTTTACCTGTTTTTGTAATTTTTTTGGTCTTTTATTATAATTTTTTAGGTATTTTTTGTTATTTTCTAATTAAATAATGGTCAAATTTAATTTTTGTTAACAACAAGGGCCAGATTGGGTTATTTTTGAAAGTTAAAAAAATGATTTGTATAATAAATAATTTCAGGGTCTACAGTTTTATTGTATCTAAAATTCAAATGTAATTTGCTCAATTACCCTTTGTTTTATCATATATCTCATATATTTTTATTTTTTGGATGAAACATGAAAATGTAGATGACATAGTTTGTCTATCGAATTAGCAGCTCCATTTAAGCTTTTCTCTAGAACTAAGAATTCAAGCTGAGCTTAATAAGCCATATGTCTAAGCTTGTCTTTATTAAGATTTGAGCTTGAAAAATCAAAAAATTTAGTATGACAAAACTTTTAAGCCTGACCAATTTAGGCATTGTTATTCAATCTTGTTTTTGTTTTGCCCTTAAAAAGTAAAATATTTTTAATTTTTAAATTGAATTTAAAATTTTGAATACATGTTTATACTTTAAGATTAGAATTTATATTATTTAATTTTAACTTTAGGAAATTATAATTTATATTTTAGAAAATATGATATATTATAATATAAAAATTAATTTTTTAAAAATTTATTTAAAATATTTTATAAAATAATAAAAACAGGCTTATAAGCCTACTTTTAGGGCCATTAAATAGCGATCAAGTTTCAAAAACACAATCAATTTTAAAATAACTAAGCTTATGGCTTATAGACAAGAACTCATATGGGGCCCACCCCACCCAATATCTAGATATACTCTTTTCAACTCAAGATTCTAGTTCAAATATTTTGTTTTTTGACAAATATAATTAGAAAATTTATTTGATCTTTTAATTTTATTTGTAATTGTAATTTACATGCAAAATTTGAAATTTGTTGAATATTTCCAAGTTAAGTTGGATTTTACCTAAAAAAAATTGAAAATTCAAGCTTTAAGGCTTAGCCTTAACTTAAGCCTTGATAATTCAAGCTTTGAACACTAGTAAGTTAAGGAGAATAGACTTTTGAGTTCAAAGTCCCAGTGGGCTAATCTCATAATAGGGTCTAGCCAACCCATTTCACAAGGGAAAAATAATAAAAAAATTCCTTTAAAATTTATAAATAATAATGAAGTCTTACAAAATGTCACAATTCTTATCAGGTTTTCAGGAAACTTTATATCATTAATAATTTTTAATGAAATAATTAAAATACCATTTAAAATAAAGAAAGTAACATCCTTAGTTCCAGAAAAAGTAAATATCAGTGATTACCTTAACTTAAACAATGATTAAAATAGAACAAAAAATTACAACTTTTTTGTGTAAGTTTTTTATTCACTAAAGTTCAAATGTTGTAAATATTTATAATTACTTTAGTTTAAATAATAATTATTTTTCTTTTACCAATGAATAAAACGTAACAAGATATTACAACTTTGCTTATATAAATTTTTGATTCTCTAACGTTTAAGTGTTGTAATTATCCATAACCACTTTTATTTTAAAAATGACTACATTTTTTGGTAATGACTAGCTAGAATAGAACAAAGCAATTATAATTTCCTCTTTGCAAATTTTTTATTTATTGAAGTTTAAATGTTATAAATATCCATGACTATTTTAGTTTAAATAATGATTTTTTTTTTGCATTGACTAAAACAAAACAAGCAATTACAACTTTTTTTGTCTAATTTTTTATTTTTAATTGGGGGTATTTTAGTAATTTTACCAAAAATTATAAATGTCATAAAGATCCCTAAGAACTTGAAAAGAATTATAACATTTTAGAGAATCTTATTAGAAGATAAAAGAAAGTCTCACATCTAAAAGTTAAAAGATAAATTATAAATATATAAGTTTAGAAAAAGTACAAGTTCAAGCAAGAAGAAAAAAAAAGAAAAGAAAGAGGAAAAAAGTAGTAAAAGGAATATTATAAGATAAAATAAGTCTTACATTTAAAGATTAAAAGATAAATCATAAATATATAAGTTTAAAGATAGTATATTTCACTAAAATAACTTAAGCCATTTGGTTAGATATTTTTTAAACTTATATATTTATAATTTATCATCTAACTTTTAAATGTGAGACTTTTTTTATTTTCTAATAAATCTCATTGTTATTTGCATATTTCTAGTTGGTTTTTATGTCATTTTCTCAACAAAGAACCTCACATGCGATATTGATTCTTCACTTAAACTTAGAGAGCAACAAAAACTCATGACTTAGACTCAATCCCACAGGGGAAAAAAAGCACATTATAATATTTTTTACTTCTAGCAATACTTTGCTTTGCAATAGTTTTAAAAGTGTTATCTAATATATAAATAAACAATATTTTTTAAGCATTGCAACTGATTATTATGTTAAGCAACATATAATTGATAACACTTGGAAAGAGTTGCCTAACATCGAATAGGCAACTATATTAAATTATTGAATTGCATTTTTTAAATAAACAATATTAGAACTGTTACTTATAAGATGACTTTTTTCACAAAATTTAAATACTATTCCCTTTTTACTAGCCAACAATCACATAAATGTTGTTTTTAAACTGTTTTTTTTTTTTTCAACATCTAATAACCATTTTATATTGTGTTTTTATACATAAAAATTAAGGTTTTAAAAATCAGACCGATCATTAAATAGGATGAGGTACTGATTTAAGGATTAATGATCTAACCGTGGTTGAACCGGTTAGGATTTATTTAATATTTTTAAATTACATATATATATATATAAACCATAAAATAATTCATTTATAATAGTAAAAAGTAATATTTACATAAAAATAGTTGTCAAAAGATAAAGAAAATTTACAAAAGGCACAACTTAAATACTTAATCCTATATATTTAATATACTTTTATCCAATAAAATTAAGACAAGTAAATTTTAATTATTAATAATATTAATAAAAATAGTTTATTATAAAATAAATAATTTTTAAAATATTTTTACGTCTTGATTTAATTAAAATCTAATAATTTAAGTATATAGTTTTTCTTATTATTTATTAATTTTTATTTTAATTTTATTATTATACATATAAGAGTAATAATTTACTAGATTTATTTCATTCCCTCCAACTTTTTATAAGCATAAATAGTATAAATTAACAAAAGTGCGTTTGTTAAAAACATAACATTTAATAATATTAATTAATGTAGATTTTCATTCAAACTTTTACAATGGCCAAGAAATAATTTGGCTAAAAAACAAAACACCCTCCTGCTTCGTCTTCCTGCCTGCTACTTCTGTCTTAATGATATTAGTATAAATTAATATAAATAATAATATAATATAATAATAAAATCAATGTTGAATGATACATTCACGTGGAGAGAGAAACGACTTAATGTCCATTCGTAAATGAAAAACCCTCGTCTCGTTGTCTTCTTCTTTCCTCCCTTTCTTTGCATTGCCGCCGTTAAACTATTTGGAATGCCACAGATCTGCGATCAATCCATCTAAAAGCTTTAACCTTTAGGGTGTATCTAGTAGTTTTGTTAAGATAAAAAGTGCATTAAGGCAGTGATTTGCTGTTCTCCTTTTCTTCATCTCTTTTCTGGTTTTTTCGTTGGTTTTCCTTATCAATTTTTGAGATGTGTGGTTATATAGCGTGAAAATTCTTGCCTTCTATAACAAGAACACTGAATCGATACAACATACAAGTTCTAAAATGCTGCATTTATAGTTTTTGACAACAGTTTTCATATCATTTAATTATGAGCCTGTTTGAATTTTAGTTAAGTATAATTAATTATAAAAATAATTGATCAATATGGTAGATTTTAATTATAATTAATTATATTATAACGTAACTGTTTGAATACTATCTTTCTAAAATTAATTTTAATAAAATTAAATATATTTTAATCAGAATCAATTTTAACTATGCAAATTACTATAAAAAATATTGCTTTTTAAAATTAAATTATTAATAATTTTTTATCTAATATTATTAAATTTGTTAAGTTTTATTTAAGAAGTAAAATATATTATTTAAATTATATATTTAATTAATTATAAAAAATTTAAATTATATTAATATTAATATTTTAATTTACGTAAATAAATAACCCAATATATATTAGTTCAAATAAATTTAATAAAAGATAAAGATTTAGTTCTTAAATACTAAATATCAATTATACAATAATTAATGAAGATGATAATATATATATATATTGATATCTGATAATGCATCTATGTTTTCTACTATAGTTAATGATCACAGTTGTATAAAAAAAAACCTTAATCAAGCAACACCTAGCACTAAATAAATAAATAAAATCTGGCAATTTTGGCATGTTTATATAAGACATGAGAGCATATATTTGACGGAAAGAAAAATTTTATTTTCACACCGAAAAGAAAACCAAAGAGCGTGGCATTACTGAATAATAATAATGCTCAAGGGTATATGTCGTAGGTGAGTATTTCTGACATATAATAAATACACACAACAATAAAATTGAAAGTCAAAAGCTGCTCCCCTCAACTTAAGCCAAAAATTGATTTTGGGTCAAAAAATTGATTATGAGCAAATTTGGCTATTTGGGTAATTTTCTCGTAAAAAGATTTTTTAAATCAAAAAATTGATTATTTGGCTAATACAAACTCGCAGTATAGTTTTCAAATGTTGTGGGGACAAATATGTTTTAGTGACAGAAACTTGTTGAAAAGATAAGATAATGGAACGAAACCATGAGGAAGTAAATACTGAATACACTACACATCATTAACTAGTAATTATAAGAGACTTGCGGATGGTTTAAGAACTGGTAATTATTTCTACCAAAGTCTTGAAATCTTGAGCAGCTTTCCCGTCTGCCCCGCCAGCAATTTGCATAGTCTTTTTCATCTTCAAGGCATTTTCTCTGATCTCCTTACCTTGTTCCTCCACCAAAATCAGATTCAAGCTTTGAAGCAATCCACTTTTGGTGAAAACCCCACCTTGTGTTTTGACTCCAATCCTCCACAGATCCACCACCGTTCTTGCAGCCATCCCATGATCTCCAAAGAAAGGCCTGCAAATCATAGGCACTCCATTGGCCAAACCCTCCATCACTGAGTTACTCCCACAGTGAGTCACAAACACTCCCACAGATCCATGTGCTAAAACCTGTGTTTGAGGAGCCCAAGGCACTATCTTCCCTATCATGCTTGTCCCCTCAACAAACCCATTTGGCAAAAGCCTCTTTTGATCATCCTTTAGAGACCACAGAAATGGAAACCCACTAGCTTCAAGTGCTTCTGAAACTTCTACAAGCTCTTGTTGGGGTGGGGCCACCACAGTTCCAAAGCTGATATAAACCACTGATCTAGAGCCTTGTTTGTCCAACCATGGCAAGCACCCGTTGGGGTCGGCACTGTCAGGTCGTGACAATGGAGGACCAATGTATAGCAGTGACTTTAACTTGGACTTAAGGTCCTGAACAAAGAGAGGAGGATCTAATTCCTCGTAGGAACACAGAACTAGTGCTCTTGCTTGAGGAAGAACTTGTCCCGAAGAAGCTAGTATTTTACTGAACACAGTCTCTTTATGTTCTTCGCCAGTTTTGAGCAAGACATCAGGTGGCAAGTCCTCAACACGCAAGTGGGACAAACCAGGAAGGAAATCAAGGTATGTGTTTTTGTTTGGTTCATGAGAATTAGTGATCTTTTGGCGTATTAAGTGGGTGTAGAAATGAGGAGAGACTGAGATCGAAAGCGAAGGCCAAGCTGCAATGTAAGGGACATTGAGTTTGTGGGACAGAGAGAGAGAAGGAGAACTTACGAAAGTGTCTGAAAGAATGCAAGCGACTCTCTGGTTTGTGCTCTTCACTGCCAAATCTATGGCCTGTTCAAGGTTCTCAAGACTAGCCTGAAGAAACAAGTCTACTAGTACTGGACCAGGGAGGGGGAGCGTGCCTGGCACGTGATCCTGATCTGGTACTCCGTCAGAAACTGTGTAGGGTTTGATGTTTTGTGGTATGTTTGGTTGCTTGGAGAAGAGGGACTGATTTGATTTTTCAGTGTTGATGAACGAGAAAGCGATGTTTGGAGCAGCGCGAGCAAGTCTGATGGCCTGGTTTAGAAGAGCTAAAGGGTGGCTCCCAAAGGGGAAGGCAATCACTACAACGTGTTTGCCATCATCAGATAATACAGTCGCCATGTCGAGATCTGGTTCGATTTGGAAGGCCAGAAGAAACGAATATATGCACTCAAAAACCTAACTACATACATACATGCACAGTATTCATACTACTGCAATACTCCCTCTGATCCTATTTATAAGTCATTTCTAACAACCTCATCAATATCAATACAATAAAAGTACAAGGAATAAAAATAAATAAAATTCCAAACATGCTCCTATATAACAAATCTAAAAAGTAATGTCCTGTTATTTTTCCTCTCTCATGAAGGGTAATTTTGAAAATACCTATCAAATATTACCTAAAAAGACGCACCATGATTTATAAATAAAATCAAATATATCTTTTAAAATGAGACCGAAGGAGTAGATATTTCTTGTGTTGGTTCTAGAAGGCTTTAATTTCTATGTCATTTAATGAAAGAACGTGGGAAGAGAGCGTGTGTGGCAGGAAATGGTGGAATGCGGATTTGTATTAGGTGAGTGACTCATTTGCTCATTCAACGCTCAATTACAAGTCATGATAAACTCTTTAGCGTCTCTATCAGCTTTCTTCATACATGTCCGGCTTTCTACCATCTTTTCATAGTTTTTATTACTTATAGGTACTTTTTCATTTAGAGGGAAATGAAAATTTAATTTTGATTCATCATGTTTAAAAACGGTTAGTCCCTATGCCAAAGAGGGATGGTGTGTCTCCGTTTCTTTTTCTCCTTTTTCCCTCCGTTTCTCAGATCTTGACCGTTTGAATATGTGTGGTTTTCATCTAACACTCCACAGTGCCAGCTGTCATTCATTGTACTGTCTTTTTTAATTTTGAATAGTATCTTGTGGCTTTATTTGTTAAAAAATAAACTCTACTAA